ACTTTTACACAACCAGTTTTTTGGGTGCTGTCAGAAAGCAGTAAGATTCTATAAAATGATTCCCAGTAGGAGGCAGTACAATGAAATAAGGCAGAAGTGTCTAGGCTTTTGGCCCATACAAACCAGAGGCTAAAGGGGCCAGAGCAATCTACACTGATGAGGTTAATCAGATGAGATAGTTGATTTTCCCAACCAAGATCCCAAGTCCATAGGCTATAGTACAATGCTTTCTATAACTCATTTTTGTTAGAAAGAAGAGAAGCAGCTTGCTTTTACTTAAAAGGAAGCTTCCTTGATATCTTCATTGCTGCTGCTGTTGGTGGAGTGTGTGTGTGTTTTGGAGGCCTGACTATATGTAATGCTTACAGTATGGGATGTAATTTATTTAAGGTAATTTATTTTTATTGTTTTTTCTTTCCAGCCATACATCACTCACATTGATAAAAGGAATTAAAAACATCATTTGTCAAAAAGTACTTGATTGGTAGAGAATACCTCCATTTCGCCTACCTTCCTTCTCTCTTTTTAGACATCATTTAAGAAAAGGAAAGCAAAAGAAAAGGAGGTGCCATATTAAGGGTGTATGAATTTTAAATAGCCTTCTTACTACTAACGTACAAACAGAAAGGTCAAGAAAGCAAAGTGAGTAAGCAATGTATATACTGCTTCAACTTCAGCACAACTGTGCCCTGTGAAAGATGAATGAGTGACACAAGGGAGAAGGAAAGTAGCACGACAATTTCAAGATACAGTGTGGTGTGAAGTTAGTAGCAATATAAAGCAAGAATCATTACATTAATTTGAACTATTGACTTTAATGCAGATCCTTTCCTTTGTTAGGGAACAGGAATTTCAAGTTCATGTAATACTGTTGAGCAAATTGCAAATAGGTTTCACCCATGGAGCTTTCTTTGGCAATGCCATTTTAGAGAACTGAACTTCTGGATCACAATTAGATGGTGGTGGTGCTGGTGGTGGTGGATGTTTCCAGATCTGTACAAAATGTTTTTGGCTTATTTGGAATTATAGAATAGAATAGGAATTGGAAGGGACTATGAAGGCCATCGGGTCCAACCCCCTTCTGTTGCAGGATACCAGCTTACACCATCCCACTCAGATGGCTGTCCAGTTTATTTTTGAATGTCTCTAGTGTGGGAGAACATGTCTTATCTAGGCAACTGGTTCTACAGTCATATTGCTCTGACAGTGGGGAAACCTTTCCTGATATCTAGCCTAAACTTGGGTTGTCACAACTTGAATTGATTATTCCGTGTCCTACACTCTGGCATCAGCAAGAATACCTTCCTCTTTGTAACAGCCTTTGAGGTACTTAGAGAGACAGCATAATCCCTCAGTCTTTTCTTCTCAAGGCTGAACATGCCCAGTTCTCAGTCTCTCCTCATAGGGCAGTGGTTCCAAACCCTGGATCATTTGTGTTTCCCTCCTCTGGACCCTTTCCAACTTGTCTGCATCTTGCTTACATCTTGGTGCCCAGAACTGGACACAGGATTCCAGATGGGGTCTAACTAGTGATGAGTATAGGGGAATTACTACTACTCATGATTTGGAAGTAATACTTCTATTAAAGCATCCAGAACAGCATATGACATTTTGCTGGCTGCATTGCATTGTTGGCTCTTATTTAGCCTGTTGTCCACAATAACTCCAAGGTCTTTTTCAGTTCTTTCGATCCACATCTTGTATCGATGCATTTGGTTTCCTTTTCCTAGGTGGAAAACTTGGCACTTAACCTTACTGAATCTCATTCTGTTGCTTTCAGCCCAGTATTCAAGTTTATCAAGATCACCCTGGATTTTCATTCTGTCTTCTAGGGTGTTTGCTATTCCACCCAGTTTTGTATCCTCTGAAAATTTAATTATCATTGCTTGAACTTCCTCATCTAAATCATTACCTCCATCCAGTTTGAGAAGATGCAATTGATGAGCACTCTTTGTGTCCCATTTAGCAGCCAATTTTGGATCCACCTATTAGTTTTTTCTATCTAGTCCACTTTTTGCTAATTTGCTTATCAGAGTGACATAGGGCACTATGTCAAAAGCTTTGCTAAGCAGATTATGTTAACAGTGTTCCCTCTGTCTGTTTGGGAGGTTACCCAGACAAAAAAAAAAAAAGATTAAATTAGTCTGACAGCACTTATTTTTGATAAATCCACACTGGCTTCTATTAATCACTATATTTTGTACAAGATGCTTGCAGACTGATTGTTTAATTTTCTCCAGAATTTTTCCAGGGATTGATGTCAGACTAACTGGCCTGTAGTTCCCAGGGTCATCTTTTTCCCCCCTTTTTGAAAATAGGGACAATGTTAGCCCTTCTCCAGTCATCTGGCACTTGTTTTCCAAAATTTATCGAAGGTAATAGCCAGTGGTTCTTCAATGATATGGAAATGCGGAACAGATTATAGGCAGAAATTATATTACATACTTGCAAATAATAATTGTTTTTGTGCACTGGACTAACTTCATTGGCTACTGCAAGGACAAAGATTCTGCAAGCTCATTAAACTCTATTTGCTACAGATGACAAGCTTTTGAGCACATGCTGCTCTCCAAACCACAGTCAGAACAAGATACACAATCTAGCCAAATTGAGTACTGCTAAGTTTCCATAGCGTATCTTGAAGTAGTTTAATTCTACCATTTAAATAAGTGTGACTTAATAGTGTTTATCTCTAACTGAATTGTGCCTGTTCCAATGTAATGTATCTAGCTGAATTGTGCCTGTATGTAATGCATACATCAAAAGAAATTGACTGGAATATTTTTGTTTCACACAAGTGTTGAGGAGTAGGTGGAGGGAAAACATTCTGTAGCTAACTAGAGGCCTCAAGTGGAATGAAGTTGTGGAAGCAGAAACAGGTATACTGTTATTAAGTAGAATCACCTGTCACCTTTCAGTATAGTGCAGAGCCCATATGTGTGATGCATAGAGACTATGAAGAATAGAGGAATTTTTGAAAATTAGGAGTTTACATTGGAATACAATGCTAAAAACGAGGAGAGGGGGTGTCAGCATTGTGTGAGCAAATGCCAGGCTTATGGTATCCCACCTACCCTGTTCTTTTCCAGCAAAGCTAAGCGATCAAATGCTTTAATTTCCCTTTGTAACGCATCATAGTCTAGGGCTACATCTGAATTCTTCTCCTTGGTTTTATCTTGACTATGGTTTATTAAAGAGCAGCTTCATAAACAAAGTTCATATTGAGAAACTACAGTTAAGACTTACCACGATTTGTTCAGGTTTAAATATAATGATGAAGTGATGTGTGCTAAAACTGGACGCTAAAGCTTCTACTTCCTTCCAGCTGTGCTGGAAGAGGGGATATACAATGTTCATTCATGTCTCAATAAATAATTTTGTGTTATGCTGAAATGTAGCCAGTATATTAATGTTGAAAGTGCTCATTAACAATTCTTGATATTCATGGTACTGACTTTTATAAACTATTTCTGGCTTTTAAATGCAATGCAGTTTAACTGCAGAACACAGTTCTATAGGAATGATTTATAATGCTCTAACCTGGTACTGCCATTGATTGATTGATTTTCTGCAATTTAACATTGTATGACATATTTGAATATAATTTTCTACCTTTTTTTAAAAGCTGCATGTGAAGTTCAGGCAAAATATTTTTGTGGTAAAACTTAAAAATAGTGAAATATCAGTTCCATATTTGGTTAGCTCTGTTATTACCGATGCTGTATTGGTATATAACTCAGTATCTTAAAAACTGAATTATAGAAAATATGTGTTTCCAAAAATTCAAAGATAATTTAATAAATTCTTCCATAATTATCATATAGACTGACTGTTCTGTGATCAATTTAGATCAATAGTTAAGCTTTTCAAACCTGTACTCAGAGTGTGTGTCGGGGGGGGGGGGCTGAGTGACATAGTGACAAGCTTAAGCACTTGCAAGCACTGTTTTAAAGAGTACTTACTGTCATAGCTCATGTCTACTCAGAAGTAAGTCTAAATGAGCTTAGCAAAAGTCATAGTAGAATGTGTACAGGGCTGAAGTCTTGATGTATTTACTTAGTATGGCCATTTTAAAACTACTTGAACAGGCAGTGGGGGTGTGAGAGGTCATTTGGGTGCGCTGCCTCCCGCTTGCCATTCAGCGAGCAGGCACAGGAAAAATGAGCAACACAGATGCGATGGAGGAGTTTTCTTTCCCATTGAGCTCAATGAGAAACACCTGGGCAGAGGTATAGAAAGGACTGCACAGGGGCAGGAGGATAAAAGGAGGCCAGGAGAAAGCTTGGGGGAGAGAGAGGTGCTGAGCATGGAAGAGAAGTCGATGAAAAGCACAGACACAGGTAGGGCAGGCATGTAGCTGTTAGCGGCAGAAGGTGAGGCAGTGAAGGCAAGGGCTGTTTGGGCACCTTGAGGCTGGGAAAGGGGTGCAGGACTCCAGCTGGAAGAGCTGGCACTGGCCCCACAGGAAGGCGACTGCTGAGCCAAGACGGTGCTTTACCCAGCAAGAATTTTGAGACAATCACCAGAGCCGTTACAGAGCCGAAAGGAGTGTTTGTTGGTGCTTCCTGTGCAAGTGGGAAAGGAACAGCAGGGAAAGAGAGAAGACAGGTGCTCAACCTTTCTGGGAGCTGGGAGGCCATGAGGGAATGTCAGAGAGACATCACTCCCTGCCCTAGACTGAACCAAAGGATTGTGTGTGTTTGTCTCTCCTGATTAGGCTAAATGCTGACCAAGAGTATTAGCATAACCAGAGGTGTGTTTGTTTGTTTCTGGGACTTTATAGCATGCTTTCTTGCTTTTTACTCAAAAGAGCTTAAATATAAAGCTCAGACAGTTTTCTTTTACTTTTTCTAAAAAAAAACATAAGAGAATATGAGACTAATTCTTTCCAGGGGGTGAGGAAAGCCCCACTGGAAATACGCACATCTTTATTAAGATGTTGAAACTCAATTCTAGCTAGTAGAGCGTGGATTCTTTTCTGTAGTTGGCATTTCTTTTACCTTTGTGTCATAATTTTGTAGGCATCAGGAAGGAAACATTCTGTGTTCTCCATCTGGAAAGGGTCAGCATCACAAATTTTGTCATCTGTCCGTCCATAATTAGCACTCTCTATCATAATGACATCACTTCCTGGGCATCGAAGATCAATGGAGTAGCCCTCACAGGACAGTTCTCGCCTTACTAAACCAAACGGTAATGCTGCTCGACTGAAACCTAAAGAGAAATCAGAAAATATATTAAGTAATAAATTCAGTAATATTCAAATAGATAGTAGGTTGGAGGAAGTTTAAGATCCACAGAATCTGTAATCTTTTTTGTAGGTACAACATCTATAAAAATGTTTACTGCTGATAATTCATACTAGATTCCTCCATTGAGTCCAGTGTGTGGAAGACATCACATGGGGAAACTAATCTTCCAATTCACACCATGTCCAAGTCAGATTTAAATATAACCACTACCTAGAACACATCAACAAATAAACACATAACTGGAATATGATTTTTTAAATTACAAACTTCAGAGCCAAGAGGAAATGGCTAAGAGGGAAAAAGGGTTTATATAAATCAAATTGCTCATGAACAATGAATGGAATTTCGCATTAACTATGAAGTGATGGCTGAGAGACTGGGTCATTTTTTAGCCAGCTGGTTTACAACTGTGCTTATAACCATGAACTAGCACTATTCTGCGTTACAGCTAATTCAATTATTTTCAACAGATGTTTATAGTTGGCTTTCTTCATCCCTGTGACTGGGTCAATCTTTGAATTGACTTTGTTTCAAAAGTGAATGCTGTGCGATTAATCTATTTATTATCCTTTCTCTTGCCACCCTCAAGCTAACTATCAAACCTACAATGGTCTGCAACGTTTATATAGCAAGCCCTCACACAGCTCTTCTTACCCTGTACCTCAAAATAACAGAGAAGCAGGGCATTTGACTGTGGAAAAAACCAACAACAACAACAATGAAACGTAACAGGCTTAATAAAAGCAGTAACCTAAAACCAGAGCATGCCTTAATCCTTTTCTCCAGCTTCTTTTCTTCTTTCATCTCAGAGCCCATGTGCCTGTGTATGAATATCTTGTTCAAACTCTCACTTACATTTCTTCCCTTTGAAAATAATAGCTTCCCTCTGAAAGGTATTATTAATTTTATTAATATAAGCCTTTTCTCCTTCAAAAGTGACACTGCTGCCTGATAGAACTTTCAGCTGCAGTCTCATTTGATTTTGTAGAACTAGTTTGATTCTTTCGAACAAACGAAAGGAGCCTTTCCTTCTGGCACTTGAGTGAAGGTAAATGTATTACCAGCAGAGAAACTAACATAACAAAGGGGCTGAGATTATTATTGTTTTTAAAAGTGCATATGAAATTAAAATAAAGAACTTGTTCTCATAAAATTCCAGTTAAGGATGAGCTGCTCTGAAGAATATTTAACTTTTACGCATGCTTGAACTCCTCTTTTTGTTTAGATGATATTCTACTTTTACAACCTACAGGTGTGTACCTTATGAAAAATTTTCATGAAATTGCTATAAATTATAAGGGAGAAAAAAGGAAATCAGGATAGGATGACAAATAATTATGTAAATATGGTGGACACACTTTGCATTGTATTGTAATATTACATTCAGATCAGGCACCTTTGGGAATAGGCAGCAATGTCTGAGTCTCCTACAGGACCATGGGTTGTTGAGCAAGAGGGTTGCTCTGAAGACAGAGCGAGGGCTTGCTTGGTTGCAGAAGGAGGTCAGTAGGGAAGTGGGTCAGCTCTGTGGCTTATATTTTTCAGACTGGGACAATACTGGAGTACATAAAGCAACCAAGGAGTTCACTCATCTAATACTAAATAATCACAGCAAAGGTACTGGGTACACTTAACATACAAAAGAGAAGGTGTAACTTTTTCAGTCAGGATTAGACTGGTTTTCTCTGTGGTAGCTGAAGGTTTAAGTCAGCTTACCAGCTACGCAAGCAAGCTCCACCGAACATTTTTTTAGTGACTACACATGTTGAGGCAAGTCCATGCGTATTTTTTCCCCATTTACCACACTGACTCAGTATGTGACAATATGACTGAAGATACATGTGCTGACTGAAACCCACAACTGGCATGGACCAAGGATAAAAATGCGCCTTGAATAAGGGCACTAGAGTGAAGAAAGAAACATAATCTAGATCCTCTAGGAACAAAGATCACAGTCATACATCCATGAGCCATCTATTATCGTTCTTTACCAGGGAGAGAAGATAAACACATACTTCAAAAACCACACCACACTGCCGCAGTGCTTTTAGGTTTCCCCTCATGCATTCATACAATCCTCCCAACAACTCTGTAGGACGATCAAGACTGAGAGACTAACCTTCACATGTTCAAACAAAGCCACTTTATGACCTAGCATACATTTAAATCTCACCCTCCCATGTTAAAGGTTCAGCACAATTTATTACACCACAATAGCTTTTCAAGAGATCTAACAAAGCCTGAGGAATGCTGACAAAATGATCTGTACCTATAAAGATCTTAGAACAGAAAAAGATTGGATAAATAACTAGACAGGGCAGTCATTTGTGCAGGGCATGTGTGGAATGGGCAGTGCACAAAGTACCTGGAAACAAAAACTGACATGAAACAGAGCACAGAATACAATTACGTAGTAAACTGACTGCAAAAATAAGTTCAACTCAGGGGGAAAGAGAGCCAGAACAACCATTACAGTAATTCAGAAAGCATGCCAGTGCATTCATACTGAAGGAGCAGAAATGGATTTAACCCAGCTAATTAGCACATTTCCTGCATTAAGGCTGAAAATCTGTATACACTCACTTTTAAGTTCCACAGAACTCTGTGGGACCTGTTACTAAGTAGGTGCCTACAGGACTACACAATAATACTCGCGCCTTTTTATAATGCCTCTATATAATGTTTCCAATTTACTTGGCCAATCAATACAATGGGCTACATTTTTGTTCTTGCATAAAATCTCTGTGTACTCTAACATCTTCGCTCTCGTCATTTCTCTGAGTAGCCCACTAGTTTGTCCCCTGCACCGGCAGTGTTTGGCAGACAGAAGTATTATGCTCCTCACTGTTGCCATTAGCTTAACTGCGCTGATAAAAATATTTAACATTTGTATAGTGCTTTTAAATCCTCAAAGCACTTTGCATGGATTATCTAGCTGCAATCCTTCAAGCAATTTTGTAAGGTGAGTCAATATTATTATCTTCCATATTGCAGATGGTGAAACTGGCACACACAGCGAATGGCACATTTAAAGTCAGCAAGTGATTCATGGAAGAGCCAAGATTTGAACTAGGGCTCTGTGACTCGTACTCAGTGTCTTAGCCACCATGTCAAGCCATTCCCGATATCCAAAAGGTATGAAGATGCCTTTGGCAGCATGGCTGGGTATTAAGAGATCCCAGCACTTTAGTCTGACCATGGAAAACTTTGTTACATTAACCTGCAACATCTGTATCTGTAAACCATGGGATATTTGATGTCCTCTTGTTGGTGCAAATATACACACGCGCGCGCGCGCACACACACACAACTATACAGTGTTAATTATTTCATGGAGAAGTAATATCCTTGAGTTCGAAGGACCAGCATGAAGAAAAGGTTACAACTATGCCCTCATGTATCCTGTACCTTCTCAACTGTTTGGGAGAGACAGTATGAGCTGATCAAAGTGTGTTCATGTTTGCACACGTTTTATTTTTCAGTGCCTGTGTGTTTCCCTTCATTGTTCATACAGAACATAGACAAGTGACAGTAACACTTGAGTCTATTACACGTGCTCAGTTCTGTGAAGAATTAGTGATATAGATATATATTGGATGCAAGGGCAATGGATTCTAGTTTGATCTAACAAGGAAAAGAGATAGAGCGCTTCCTCAGCTGTACTTGCCTTCCTGCTAGATCACTGCCTCTGCCTCAGCAGCTTTCTAAAAATAATAGGTTAAGATCCAGTCAATTCTGAAGCAAGATGTCTTTTCCAAGCAAGGCCCCACCTGAGAGACGAACCAGATAAAATGAAACAGTGTGCACAGCAGAAGGGTAGAGCCCTCTATGAAACCTTCCACATAGCCCTGCCATCACATCACACAAAACCCAGCCACTTAAAAAATGAAATGCCTTCCAGCAAAGCTCTGTAATCTTTATTTTTAGCCTTCTTTTCTTTTCTACCAACAACAGTAAAAATAAGCATAAAAAGAAGCAAATTGTAATTCAATCCATCTTGCAGTTCTCATAACAGCAATGACAATGACAACAACAAACGGTTAGAAAGCTCTATGAGCGCCCCCCCCAGCAATCAATATTGTACCTTTGTACTGTGCAAATGTGAATACTGCCAAATAGCAGTGCTTAGGGTAAAATGAACTGTTCTGCTGAATTTTATTCCCTCTGAACAAATGATTTTGAAAAGATAGCTTTTGGGGGATAGCTAGAAAATGTCAAGCAACAGCTCCCACAGCTTTAGGCAAGTGATTGGAATAAATACTTCCTGGCAACAGGTGCAGCTACTGAAATGTTATTTGCATACAGAAGATAACTCTGGGTAAACAGATGCATTGCTCCACAATGAAAATTGGGAAGCCCTATCCTAGCTTAGCATCCTCCCAAAGTCTTTTGGTCAGCCAATGCACACTGGCATCACTTTTAAACAGAAAACCATCCATGAATATATGGAACACTGTGCTTTACTAATGAATCCATCATTCAGAAGCAATCCCGCAATGCTATATGCAATCCTGCTTTTTAAAAAAATGTATTGAGATAATATTTGCAATGCATTTAACACTGAAAATGGATATAGAAATGCCAAGTAGTAATAGGCCACAGTGCAAACTAACTAAGTATTATACAGAGTTTTTACTATTCCTTTCAAAGTTAAATACTGTATACCTTGGGATACACTGCTTCTAATGTGTAAGGACTAGGGAAGCCAATGAGTTGCTTGCTGACCAGGACAATTAGGTGTGACCTCTAGTACAAGGGAAGCACAGGCAGAATAATCCTATACACAGTTACCTGGGAGTAAGCTCCATTACACTCAATAGAGCTTACTTCCGAATAGATAGATACAATACTTCCGAATAGATAGATACAAATCTGATTGCCCTGCAGGTCAGGAAAGGGCTTCTTAGAACCAAACTGCAGGTTGCTTTAAAGACACACCAAGCAGTTGCTTCTTTTTCATTT